TCTCTCTCTCTCTCTCTCTCTCTCTCTCTCTCTCTCTCTCTCTCTCTCAAATAAATAAATAAATAAATTTAAAAAAAAAGTTAAGTTTTACAACTTAAATGAAATTAATATTTCTGAGACTCAGTTGGCCCTGTTGGTTTATAGTACCCATTTTAATTTTGTTTCAATAAAACAGAAGTACCTGAAAAACTGAAATGCCTCCTCATGATAGGAAGACCCTGCAGGGCCTAGGAGATAGCTCAGGGGCATAAGTGCCTGTCTGGCAAGTGTAAGGTCCTGAGTTCAATCCCCAGCATCAAAGCAAAACCAAAAACAACCAAACAAAAAACCAATCCAAGCCAAAACCAAACCCTGAAAAGTGGAAAAGCAGCGTGCATCTGCTCACCTTGAAGAGCATCCATTCATACCTAACCCACACCCAAGAACACACTGTATCTACAGCATGACCAGAAACATTACACATCTGGCGTGAAGACTGATATCTTTCACCACAGACAAGGATAAAGTGGTCATTCTTATAATTTCTGTGCAACATGGCACTTCAGGCTCAAGTCACAGCTATAAGGCAAGTAAAATTAAAAAAAAAAAAATAAGTAAAACTGTCTTTGTCTGTACATGATATCATCTTCTCTACAGAACCCACTAAGTTACCTATTTAGGGCCGGCCAAATAGCTCAACTGATTAAAGCGCCTGCAAGCAGGCACAGGGACCAGGGTTTGATCCCCAGGCCTGCTGTGCCGGCCCCGCCCCGGGGTGCCATGAGACAGCAATCGGGACTGGGCACAGTGGCGCACACCTGTAATCCCAGCTCTTAGGAGGCTGTAAACAGGGGAACACTATGAGTGCAATCTAGTAGTGAGACCCTGAACACCTTGTAGACCCTTCCCTAAAATACAAAAAAATATTACTTACTTAGAAATAGTAGTCAGACAGGTGGTAAAATGCAAGATCAATATATGACATTTAAATCATACTTTCACATATTTGGAATAAATAATCCCTAAGTTCTCTTTTTTTGAACCTGGAATCCAATTCATGACCTTGCACTTGCCAGGCAGGCACTACACCATTGAGCTATAACCATGGCCCAGAATGAATAATCCAAAAATCAAGTTGAGAAACTTTATTTACAGCAGGATGAACAAGAATAAAATAGGAATAAATTTAACATGAAGTACAAAATCTCATAACCAACCCTTTGTCTCCTGAGGTTCAGTATCTGTGGGCCTCACATCCACAGATTCTTTGTAGAAACTGAAAAGCTGATTCTAAAACACATAGAATTGTAAGGGCAGGGCCGGGGATGCAGCTCAGTGGCACAAGTACCTGCTTGGCAAGTGCAAGGTCTCGAGTTTGATTCCCAGAATTAAAAAAAAACAAACCAAACCACCACCACCACCACAGGGGCCGGGGAGATGGCTCAGTAGGATAAGCGCTTGACTTCAGTATTGAGAAAATAATCTTAGGAAGAAAAGTCAA